TAGATTTCCTTCCGTTAATAGTTATTCTTTTTTCTTGAATTGTTAAATGCTCATTACTTTTATCTCGTCGCCCCGAATTCCAATAAGCTGCTTGAAGTTTAGAGAACTATTTTTAGTCTACCAGGTTAATGAAGCTGGGCTTCATTATTAAACGTGTAAAATATATTGGTTCACTGGAAGAAAACAGTCAACATCGATTTCACAATTACCTAAAGAAGATATATGTGTCCTAAACAAAGCGGGCCACTCTCAAACATGGATACTGAGAAAAGATTACAAAAACACCCTAAGAATTTTAAAGATTATCCTGTTATAGCTTGTTTTTAAAGTTAAGCACAAAGTTACACAATGGGTTATCTGTGCTCTGCTCATCACGGGTATCGAAACCCAGTTTCTAATTATGTAAGTCCACAGTCATGTCGATGTGTTATTTTTAAATTTCAATGTAATCTATATATGGTCAGTACTGTAACGAAACCCTAATTAAACAACATAGTCACATGAAATCTAAAAAAAAAAATTAATTTTGCCATGAGCGACATTTAAAAGTCTACAAAAAAGGTTCAATAAATACATATATATTAATTATTTATAAATTTGGCAGTGCAGTTTAAGTTTTGCTCATTCTAGAATGTTTGGATATTTACAAAAGATAGAACATTTTCTGTAAATATCATTAATTGTCAAGAATATCAGGTAAGAAAAAAACAAGCACATATCACAAAACGCCTTTGAGACTAGTTGAAATAACTTGCTATCAAACATGGAATATAAGTGTAATGTTTACCCATAGATTAGACGAATAAATTATAAAATATTAGGTAAGTGTTAAACAGTAGTAGATGTAGATTTGTTAATAGCTGACGTTATGTTATCATAAAAGATACTAATAAGATATAGAAGTTGTACAGCTAATAAAATTAATACTACTGAAAATTTTACTGCAACTATAAAATAGAAACATAAAATGTTGACCGCACTGAATTTGCTTTTATATGTTATTGTTACTGACTAGCGTGGTTGTTTAACTTTGAGGTAACGTTTTGCAACGTAATGTTTTATATAAACGGAACCGAAATTAGTTGTTACTTTTGGCCAGAACCGACAAAATAACAGCCCCGAACATATCAAATTACAAATACGAGTAAGAAAAAAATTATGGTTAAGTCATGAGCGATGTTTCATTAATTTCGTGGATGCGTTATAAGAGTGACGGTTAAATCCCTCTATTCGATTTTAGTAGCCAAAGAATTGACGGTGGGGGCTGTTTACTTCCCTCTCATCTATAAATTTAAGATTAGGGACTGCTAGCACAATGTAGCTTTACGCGAATATCCGATAAAAACAAACTTAATGATAATACCATTAAAACTAACCCATCTTTATGAAATTATTTTCCTTGTAGCAAAATATAAAAAAAGATAAAGGTAAGTATTTATGTTATTAATAGGTCCATTGTTATAAAATATAGCCTTTTACACAACTAACACTAAGTCTGTAATATCTCCTTTGTAAATTATCTGTAAGTTGTAAGTTTCTTTTATTACGTTTATCCAGCTATGATATGTTCATGTAATGTTTAATAGCACTGTTGATACAACACATTGTTTATACTGGTATATGTATAAAAGAACAGCATTGGGAGATTTTACGTGATAAAAAAAACTTGAGTGACATATAGATTTTTTCTTTAAAAAGAATTGAATTCGGGTGGGATTCGAACCCGATATGATACTTACTGCCCAGTAGAATTCCGAGCTTCACAAGTAGATTAGAAAGTCCCATGTTTGTTGAATGTTTTAGTTTCAAAATGTTAGCACAGTGAAACACCATGCACTTCTTTCACATTTGTCTCCTAAGAAAGCTCGTAGCCTCGAAAAGGCCTGGTTTGGACGCTCGACTCGCACTCTGCGGATCGCAGGAACGAAACCCGTCGCTGAACATGCTCGCACTTTTAGCCCTGGGTACATTATAATTTTGACAATCAATTACACTTTTCGTTGGTAAAAAAAGTAGCCCAAGAGTTAGCGATGGGTGGTGTTAATTAGCTGCCTTCATTCTAGTCTATTACTTCTAAATGAGGGACGGCTAACGCAGATAGCTCTCGAGTAGCTTTGTACGAAACTTTAACAAACCTCGTATTAAATACCGTTTGTTTCCAAATTACTTTGATCTGAACGACTCTTTTCAAGTTACAGAGTATTTATGTCTGTGTATATATAAATATATATGCATGTATGTAATCTATTTTATATATGTGTGTGTGTATATATAAATATATGCATGTATGTAATTTATTATATATATATATGTGTGTATATATAATTATATGTATGTAATCTATTATATATATATATGTGAGTATATATAAATATATGTATGTATGTAATTTATTTTATATATGCTTGTGTAGATATATATGTATGTATGTAAGATATTTTATATATGCTTGTGTAGATATATATATGTATATATGTAAGATATTTTATATATGTGTGTAGATATATATATATATGTATGTATGTAAGATATTTTATATATGCTTGTGTAGATATATATATATGTATGTATGTAAGATATTTTATATATGCTTGTGTAGATATATATATATGTACATATGTAAGATATTTTATATATGCTTGTGGAGATATATATATGTATGTATGTATGTAAGATATTTTATATATGCTTGTGGAGATATATATATATGTATGTATGTAAGATATTTTATATATGTGTGTGTAGGTGCGTTACCTCAAATAGTCTTTGCCCAAATCATTTCACAAAATAAAACGACTTACAAAACAACCGAGTTTGGTTACGTATCTTACGTCTAACAGAGTAAAACAGAACACATACGAGTATTGTAAGTATCGCAGCTAATTAATTTGAGCTAGTATACTTACACTAGCTGTTATCCCCTGTTTACCTCATAAAAAATGCTATGAAGATTACTATTTTTCATGTTGAATGCATTTGTACGTCTTGTACAATGTGGGAGTAAGAACTTTGAAACAACGAACTACAGATATTACAGATATGTTTTCTTTTTTTAAACTAACATGCTAAGTACGACATGTTATACTTGCTAGGAATCTAAAAGGACAAAATAAGCAGTTGAAAATAGTAAAAATAATCTCTTTCTAATAGTTTCATTTCTTGAAATTTATATAATAAGTATACGAAGTGTCGTTATTGCTGACAGTCCAAAAAGCAAAATGTGTATGTTTGAAGGTAGTAATTTTCAAAGTGAAACTAATGGATTAAGTAATGCGAGTTTAGTGACAAAAGTAAGGTTAATACAAGATAGACAATAAAATAGAAACAAAATGTGAGGAATATGTGCTTTCATTGGTTTTAACGGAAAACCTTACTCTTATTCTTATCAGTGCTATTGTTAACAGCCAATCAGTCATGATAATTTATTGGTTACTATTAGAACAATTATTGATAAAGGATTTATTTTTGTGTTATATTGGTTTTAGGTACTTTACTTTTATCTCATCATTTTCTAACTCAGCCTTATGTTAAGCTAGTTTGAAATTAGGAGAACAGGCCTATATTATCATTACGATATACGGCTCTCCTACAGGTAGTAGTGTCATATACCCGATGTCCAGTTAATTTCAAATAATATCCTGTTGAAAACGGTTTTTCCTTATAAGTTTGTTGTAGCAGTCATTCTATTATATTTTCAGTTGTTTGAATTTGCATTGCGAGGAATTTGTTTTAATATTCAGGGCTGCTCTGTGTTTTAGTCAATAATGTTTCTCACAGAAAACATAACACAATTATGTATATATATACTGTGAAGGAAACAGTTTGATCAATTGTAATGATTATTGTAAATTGCAACTCACCCAACAAGATTAGAACTCTTAAACACAAAGTATGTAAATTTTAGCGAATCCAAACTTTTTTTATAAACATTCACTCGAATGTTTTCAAATTTTGAACAATGGCAGAAAAAAATATCTCGTCATAAAACAAAACAAAGTTTTATCTTAAGGAAAAATTTCATTAGTGAGTCGCGTTAGGAAGTTGGTCAAACAAGTTTCCTGTGTTATATCCTGCTCCGAATTCTAGACAATTCCTCCGAGTGGCTGTTATATTTTGTCAATATCTTAGTGAAGGTTTGGTTTGCTTTAATACTTGTTTGTAATATTGACGAGAAGGATAGCTGGCTTGAAACATTTTTCTTGTAGAATAACTCAGTGAAGATGAAAGATGGGAGAAAATATACCACCATCTTATTGTAATTCAAAATACTTTCATCTAGCCGTAAAGTATACATTTGGCATCCAGTTTCTCTTGTAAATATTGTGCAAACTCCCCTCCACACACACACACACTTTCCTTTAGAATTTCCAGGCAAAACAATTATAGGATTTTTTATGAGTTAGAAAGACCTTCCAGTGGCACAGCGGTATATCTGCGGACTTACAACGCTAGAAACCGCGTTTCCACACCCGTAGTGGGCAGAGCACAGATAGTCCATCGTATAGCTTTGTGCTTAACTTCAAACAAACAAAAGACTTAAGAAACGTTCTACTTACTTGAACTTTGTTATCACAGAACTTAAATAACGCAGAATTTGTTTCCAGAACGTATAAAACAACCATATATTCGGCAAAATTTGAAACCGACGTTTTCCTAGCTATTTTGTATTTGTTTTAATATCGACCCCTTTCCAAGTTACTTTGTTTAAATATACCAATGTGAATGAAAAGTAGGTTTCTATAGAATGTAGTTTTCTAGTTTGGTAGAAATAGAAATAAACTATAATTATCCCGCTTAAAACTTTAGATTAGGACACAGAAACTAAAACAAATCAACAGGTAATATTAGATGGGACTCAAGTATAACAGTTTGTAGAACCAGTTTGCATATAGTACACGGAGAATATTATTTTGCTATTCAATACAGCACTTCCGTAACCGAAGACATATCAAGTTAAAATACCAATCAAAAGATGAGACAAAAAAAAACTCCACACTTACCAAATGCTGAGAAGTTTCGTGCAACGAACTAAACAGCTTTTAAAATAACTTATTAGACAACATTTTACGAACAAGGTTGCCAATTGTTGTCATGCAGCTCTGTGCAGTTACTGTTACAAGCTAGCACTCCGACAAGCATTCTTAACCATGTAAGAGGCTAGACGTTTCTGCAACAGTTCTAAATATTCTCTACGCTCGTGTGATAATCGACATTCCTACGATTGTGCGCAAGCTCCATTGTGGGTCCTCTTCCCTTTCACTCAATATGGTAGACTCGTTTTTGTACGTTGTTGTGAATAGTTGATAATATAGATAATTAGATATACTATCAGGGTGTTAAATTTCTCAACTTTTGATAATTGTTTGTTAACAATGGTAAGTATAACATGAAAGAAACAGCTTTTCTGAGAGGTTGAACTGAGCCACATAAGAATGCTAGTTAGTTTCGTGTTTTAATGAGTTCCGACAGCTTTTGCGATTTTTTTTTTAAAGAAGATATCAGAAAATATCGAGAACTGAAAGGTAATCTACTGTTTGTTTGTTAACATATGTAGCCCAAATTTGGTATCTTATGAAGAGAATCGATTTAGATCTATCTATGGTTTAATGCTCCCCGGTGGCGGTAAGTCTGTGGGCTTACGACGCTAAAAATCGAGTGGATAGAGCACAGACAGCCCATTGCGTGCCTTTATGTTTTACAACAAAAACCTTTGTTTTAAAACATAAAATATTAACATAAATGACAAGTGTTTTCTATTTTTATTGCTTTTCAAAATAACTTACGCTTAAAATAGTTATCTTACTTTAGCAAAAAAATTCCATTAAAAGTATATCTTGTTCTTTTAAGCATAATTAAATGTAATTAGTGATGAAATTTTAATACCGGTTAAGAAGAATCACAAAAACCTGGTGTTAAAATATATTTTAACATTGGTTGGCTCAAGAAAGAAACGATGAAATTGAATATAGAACAACCTGAAATAAGCTGAACATGACAGTAGAGAAAAGTGGGTTATAATCATAAACCTGTCTGTTACATTTCTTCACACAATATAATTTTGTTTCTACTTTATTCTGTAAAACAGAAATTTTCTTCCACATATTTGCCACGAGCTTCTTTGTTTAGGATACTCGTACAAAGATACACAAAGGCTTGTCGTCCCTAATTTTGAACTGATCGAGTAAAGATAAGATAGCTAATTAAAGCAGATGCCGTTAACTCTTGGGCTACTCTGGTCGAATAGTGGGATTTGACTGTCGCTCTTATAACACATCCGCGGCTCCAAATTGCGAAGTGCGATTTTGCCGCAACGGGACGAAAACCATGGACCTTTGGATCCATAATCCGGCGTGCTAACCTCTGAGCCACGTTAGGCCCAATATTAATTCTTATTTATGCATGTCAAGTATAATCTTGATATTTATCATCTATTGCATAATCTGTCTTTTTCATAAAGTCAAGTAATTCTCGTAATCTAACTTTCATGTCATTATATTTAAGATTAAATGGATTAGTAATATGGAAAACTTTTGAAAAGAAAATATTTTTATACAGGGTTGATCGCAGTATAACGTAGCAAATTCTAACAATTCTATCTAATTTTTCTTGAATGGACGTACTGTTCTCACCAATTTTCTTGTCTCTTACATTTATATTTATATTACAGGATTATAAAACATTCGATGGAATTTTACAGAAAGCTCTTTGTCCCCTTTTCAAATTTAGCCACACCTGAAAGTCACGTTGCTATGGTGAACTGCTATAGATATCCCTAACGTCACCGAAGTCTACGTCATTAACATTCACACTTTGTACTTCCACCTGCAAGTCAAACTAAACACTTCTTGCTATGGTGAACTGCTATAGAAATCCCTGACGTCACCGAAATCTACGTCATTAACATTCACACTTTATACTTCCACCTAAAAGTCAAACTAAACACTTCCACGTTGCTATGGTGAACTGCTATAGAAATTCCTGACGTCACTGAAGTCTACTTTATTAACGTTCACACTTTATACATCCTATTAATCTAAATAATCAGATGTCCATATGTAATGATGAACATGAACATTTTTTTTTCCAATTCAACTGAATTTGCTTGTGGAAAATTATCTTATTATCATTATTTAATCATATGAAGTATTTATTCTCAGGTGTAAGCACATAGGTTTCGTAGAATAACAAGAAGTTCGCCATAATATATTTTACGGAGTAAGCCTGAATTCTCTGACTTTGACTGAATTCAAAGAATGAAAAAGGCTAGACACAATTCGTAACAAAATGAAATAATATTTAATCTTAAAATAAAATACCAAGATCAATACTTTGTATGGGCGATCTCTGTGAAGGAGCAAGAATTTGTTGAATAACTTCTGTTTCAGATTGAGAAAACCTAGCATTGTAAACACGAAACAATAATGCTATTCTTCTCGAAAAATAAGGAGGTTTTTTTTTAGGGAATCAACTGATCCTCTAGTAGATAAGATCGTTGTCTACTTTCAGAGAGTATTAAACTTCATAGAAATCTTTCCACCGGTAAAGTAATACTCTATGAGGTTGACTCAGTTCAATAGGTAAATAGGGTGAACGGAACTTAGCTTTTTCCTTGACCAATGTTGTGTTAAAACAAGATACACTGTGTGTACGAAAAATTTCAGCATTTTATATTAACTAAGGAGGTAGAAAACACGTATTATTCCTGCGTACGATGTATGTAATTCTCAAGATGAAGAAATGGGAATTATTACTTCCAACTATAGACAACGTTTGTAAGTGACTGGACATTTTATCCAAGCTTGAATACATTATTCTTCAGGCTTTGAAACGTCAAATGCTCCTGGACCATGTCAGAACTCGGTGATTATAATCTATATCAGGTTCAAAGTTTCAGTAGAACGTGATGGCACACATATTTATGAAAGCCATTAACTCAAACCATCAGTAGTTCTGATTTATTATAACGCAAGGTACCTAAGATATCGAAACCCAAGTTTTAACGCTATAACTCTCAATGCTACTGAGTTGATTTCTAGTTCTTAACTATGTAGGTAGCTAGCTTTAATCAGAAGTTAATGACAATTATAGATAGATTCCTCAGGAACAAAAATTACATAAGTCTAAGAATTCGTAAAATTAATAAATGTCCTATATATATATATATATACATGATATTAAAAATTTGGTATACATTCACGACAAGATGGAAGACATCTTTAATGGGCATAGAACAAATAACCAATTGTATAGCTTTGCGCTACAATAAAAAAGCTAATTTGTTTTTACAAAAGATGTTATATTTCACCCAAACATCCATTTGTAATTTTCAGAGTATAAAACTTTTTATGGTAAGATCTGTTGTAACAAACACTACTATTTTATAAACTGTCAGTACTGTAATAAAAAGGCGTTTTTGGAAAGGAGTTGTACTGTATTAGTTAAATACATATAGGGTCATATACAAACGTTTCAAAGCAGTTGACACTTTTCCCTTATTGCCAGTTTAATAAGCTTTTAGTAGCTCGTAAACATAAGTCCCAAGGAGGTGGTACTTGTTATTTGTGTCAGTTTAGTATAATACTCTCAGTACCTTTGTATCAGTTTAGTATACCCTCAGTACCTATGTCTCAGTTTAGTATACCATCCGTACTAATGTTTCAATTTAGTACAACATCCATACTTATGTCTCACTTTAGTATACCCTCAGTACCTGTGTCTCAGTTTAGTATGTCCTCAGTATCTATGTCTCAGTTTAGTATACCTTCAGTACCTATATCAGTTTACTATACACTCAGTAGCGAACAAATATACCTCTTACACGGATATCCTGAAAGGTATCAGTAATAATCTTAAATCATTGAAAATGTTAAATTATAGCCAACATTATGTTTCAATAAAGTAGCCATTTTCATTTTAGAAATAATCGTCAGAGCTGGATTTCAACTTAATAACTACTTAGTTACAAGATGGTAGATTGTTATTCTGGACATTGACTGCTGACATTTATTATCTTTCAAAAGGTGGATGTTGATAAAGAAACAACGTTTATTAAGGGACAAATAATGAGTTCATTGTGTGAAGTTCAGATCAAAATGGACACTGTAGCTTTATCTTTTGGACAACTACAGTTCTTCAATACAGCATTATGGTTGCTCAATTCTCAAAAGACACATATAATCAAGCTAATCTGATCCATAATTCTGAATAAGCTTTCTTTCGAGAGACTGAATTGTTATTTTTGTTATATAGTAAAAGCCATTTGCCTAAGTGTATTAAAATCTTCTGCTTCTCGTTCAGCTTCTGTAACAGAGTATATAAGTGTGATATTTTGGTGTAAAGTGTTTAAGACCACACGGAATTTATCAGAATAGGAAACTGGAGTTATTATCCCCCGTTTTATAAGTTATGCATATAAACAGCTAAAGTGAAGTACTGAAACGGTTTCCGATGAAGTTCGTAGTTAGGAGCGGTCATCAAGGTGGCTGTCTATAACATGTACGAGATGTCTTTAAAATGTCAACATCATTTATATGGACACTTTTCCTTTTACAAAAATATTTTGGTTAAAAAAGATTGTTATCTTTTGTTTCTATTCCGAACGCCCTATGTGTCTGACCTTACTTAATAGTAAAACCTTAGTAAAATGTCGAAGGACCAAATCACACGAATTAAAAAAAAGCGTTGCAGATCTGAGGACTCTCACTACAGAGAAGTTAAAAGTTAAACAAAAATTAGTTTTAAGCCTTTCTTCGAAACCGCGCCAAGATTTATCTACGGAAATGATATCTAACCGTTCGTAAAATTTAACTGAAGACAAAATTAATTAATTAGTTCTATGCGATTAACACAGATTTGTCAGTTAAACTTGTGACGGTAAGTTATCAAAGACCCTCGATAAGTTATCAAAGAAGTTCCAGACTAGAAAAAAGATTTTGTATTACTTGTTAATTTGTGAAACTTTTGTTTATAAATCATTGTGTGTAATAACTATTTGTAATAACTGTTATTGTAAATTGTATTGCTGTTTGTATATCAAAACATATTTGTGTTAAAAAAGAAAATTGTGGGTACCAATCTTGTTGGCAAATATCATTAACAGGCTATATATCGGTTTACTTAACTGCTAAATT